GCAACTGGCCTGCAGGTTTCTCAGCCTCCAGGAGGCTAACCCGGGCCTCCTCCTTCACATGGAGTCAGGAATCCAAGCGCCTGATAGCAGAAGCTATAGAACTTATAAAAGCCCAGGTTCGGGGCATGTGTGACATCACTTCTGCTACAATCTACTGGCCAAAGCCAGTCAGAAGGCCTGACCATATTCGAAGGGTAAGGAAAGATATTCCTCCACTTGATGGAAGGAAGTACTGTGGCCATTTTTGCTGTATACCATGTGTTCCCTCACCTGGAATCCTGCTTCTGTGACTTTTACCTCCAGATGGCAGCTAATGGCACATCCCCAAGGGTGCCTTCTCTCATTATCCCAAAAAGATCAAGTCCTCTTCTTAGGCCACTTCATAGGGCAAATGAGGCCAACACACATGGTAGGTAGAGGGAAGTGAAAGGGGAAGGAAGAAAGGAAAGAAGGATTGTTGGCTTGGATGAATGCCTCCTTTGTGCTTAGCAAGTTGCCTGGCACAGAGTGAGTGCTCAATAAATGTCTGTTGGATTTAATCCAGTTCTTTCATAAGCCAGGAGACAGACAAAATGTATGTATTGAATAGTTCCTGCGTTCCAGAATTGTGCTATGTAGCTTATATATCATACAATTTATTCCTCACAACAAACCTAAGAGTAGCTTGTGTTATCCCCATTTCACACCAAAGGAAAGAAAGCTGTAAGAGGTTAAGTGACATTCCTGAGATCTCAGAAACTCAGGTCTGGCTGATTCCAGAGCCCCCAGAGTTTTCTGCCCACCCTACTCTTGCCCCATATACCAAACACTTTCTATGATCGGGGGTCCCCAATGCCAAGCTCACTAAGGGACCAAGTCAGAGTTGGTTGTGGAGAGGGTTGTAGATTCTCCATGTGAGACCTCATGACTCCTCTTAATGGAGGCTTCTCCCCATCCCTGCACTGATTTGGCAAGAATTGAATGCCTCTGTGACTTCTTTTCTTTAGAACTTTTTGAGAAAACATCACCTATCTCAGCTGTTAGAACACCTACTTTGTAATCAGTTTTCTCAGTTTGTTAAGACAGAGGAAACCTTGAATATATCCTTTTCTCTGAGCATACCTTAGGTTAGTCAGTTTTCTGGAAAGAGGAACATGGGAATGAATGATTCTAGATCATGACTGGGGACATAATGAGGGTGAGTGAGACTTTTATAACAGACTCCCAGGCGGAACAGGAGAAGGGAGCTTCTACTCCTACAATTGCCCTGACATTCTATGTGTATTCATGATATTTTGCTCTTACATCCACTCACTGGGTATTTATTGAGTATCTACTATCTGCCAGGAAGTAGGCTGGACATTGTGTGCACAGTGATGGGCAGGAATCTGACCTGGCCTTGCCCTGTTGGAACAGCAGTGAGAGAGAGAGCCAGTAATGAATGAAGTGCATTAACATGTACAAAATGGCATCTATGATATGTGCCATGGAGAAGAGCCTATTATGGTGGGATGTGACCTTGTTCAAGGTCCTAGAGGGGAAGGTGGTGGGAGACGGCAGGAGAGAATAGGAGTGAAGTTGGAGGTCACTTACCTTTAGTTCTCCAGAAAAAGCTATGTGCTGGCATCTAGCCAGGCTTTGCTTGTGGTCTCCACTCTGGTTGCACATTAGAATCCCTTGGTTGGAGGAGTGCTTAAAAAGAAATCTATGTCTGAGGCAGACCTGCAGAGATTCTAATTGAATTGTTTGGGGGAGGGATCCAGGAATCTGAATGCTTTCGAAGCTCCGCCATGTGATTCCCAAGTACTGCCAGGATTGAGAGCCCCACAGATGGAAAGATAAGGTTCATGCCTTCAGAGCTCCCAACATCTGGTTCTCAGACCAGCTCAGAGATCTTAGTATAAATATTCACAAGACTGGATAGTCCTTCATAGCCCTTACCATATTTATACTCTTATGTAATCTTTGGGATTATTTGGTCACTATCTTTCCCCGCCTAATAGATGTGCACCTCATGAGGGCAGGGACCATGTCTGTTTCCGATTCCTTCTTATATTTCCACTGCCTAACACATGGCCCGTGCCTCTATGATGAATGACTGAATGAGCAAATGGCTTGAGGAGGTTTTGATAGATGAGGGACACGGTCAGTTTTGCATTTTAGAAAGTGCCTTTGGCTGCAGTGTAGAGAATGGACTGGGTGGAGGGAAGACTCGAAGCAGGGAGGAAATTTGGTGGCTGAAATGGAGCAACGGTCGAAATTGGGTGTGATGTGGAATAGATTAGAGAAACATTTGTAGGCATAGCTGGAGGGACTTTGTGATTTAGCAGTTGTGCTGGAGGGGAGAAGAGGGTGAGGCGGCGAATGCCACCATATTTCTGGCTTTAGTGACTGGAAAGCTGGTGTTGGCCTTTGAGAGATAAGGAAGGACCCGAAGGAGAACAGATCTTTTTAATGTTGATGGGTTCAGTCTTGGCCACCTGGAGTGGGAGATGCCAGTGCATCTGTCCTGGATGTAACTGGATTCGTGTTTCCCCCCTAAGTCCAAGAGGGAATATCAAGGCATCCTTCTGTTGAAATTTCATGGCATTGGAAACCTAGAACTTTCTTCTGGAAGGCAGAAGGATGGGGATCTAACCTTGACTTGAATTTAACTCATGTCACTTTTAGCAATGCATGGTATTTGGGGAATGTGTGCTCTTCGCATCTTTAGTAGCAGATTCCTTTTGACATTCAATATTTTCAGACAGCTCTAGAATTTATGGAAAAGGGGACTTTCTTTTGAAAGATCACATGAGCCAGGGCTATTTATGTTAACAGGGACAGAAACCCAACTTAACCGGTATTAAGCCTGGAAGGTTAATGTGTGGCTTCCTGGGATGTTGTGTTGAGGAGTCTGAGTGGAAGTCACACCTGCCAGGACAGAGCACTGTGATCAATGAGTGATGTCTGCCATGTACACAGAGGGGGCAAGTGGGGCATATTTTTGTGCCCTTGGTTCTGAAACTGAAGCTTTCCCTCTGTGGCCTTTGAAAAGCATCAAATAATGTCTGTTGGACTTAGGTTCTACCCTGGCTCAGCCACTATAGCTGTGGGTAACTTTTGTTAATCATTTCATATGCCTGAGCTTGACAGTTTCCTAATCTATCAAGCAGGGGTTAAAATCCCTATCCTTCCTACTTACTAGGGTTGTTGAAAGGATCAAATGGGAAAAGAAACATGGCACTATGATGCCTTCCATGAATGTACATATAGGATAAATTCACATGTGTAACAATGGGGGATGTTGGACGCATGGATGAAAAAGCAGCAAGTATTCCTCCTCTCCAAGAGGAGATGTAAGTTCAAAGGTTTACTGCTAAGAAATAAATTTTATTTTATCAATCTTACTTATTTTAAGTAATCTCCACACCCAGTGTGGGGCTCAGACTCATGACCCTAAGATCAAGAGTCGCATGCTGTACTGACTGAGCCAGCCAGGCGTCCCACTAAGAAATACAATTTAAAACTGTAGAGGACCTTATAATAAAAGAATCATAAGAAAATAAAAGTCTCATAAAATTATCAAATGAATACGTAGGGAAAGAAAGACTAAGGAAGGAAGGAGGGAGGGAAGGAAGGAAGGAAGGAATCAAGGAATCGTAGTGCTGGAGATGGTATGGTGAAATGGTATACAGATTGGTGTGACTCTTTTGTGGCGGAGTTGGAACTATGTATCAAGAACCTTGATAATGTTTATACCCTTTGGTCAAGTAATTCCACTTTAGGTGATTCATTTCCAGGCTGGCTAGTAAAGAGTTCAGGCTTTGTGGGCCCTTCGGTATCTAGAATATGTACCTGGATCCACCACCGCAGAACAGAATCAGTCACAGACTTTAGGTAAGCAAGTGGGTATGGCTGTGTCCTAGTAAAATTTTATTTACAAAAATATGTAGCATCCAGATTCAGTCCAGGGGCTATAGTTTGCTGTCGTCTGATGTAGATGAAGAAAACTACTTTTGTATTTTTGTGGTTATCCTAAATTTGTGGTTATCCTAAATTCAAAATTCTGAATACAAAAAGAGCTTTAGTCTTGAAGATTCTCTTTTCAGCTTTATTTATGTCAAAGCATACTGGCAAACTTAACTGTTCATTGATGGGAGGAGTGATTAATTTTAATAGTTCCACCCAATGAAATATTATGTAGGCATTAAAATGTTGTTTATTAGTGATTTATAACAACATGGAGAAATGCTTGATAGAATGTTATATGGAAATTAAACTGATTTATAATGAAATTACAATGATAGGGGCTCATATCTAAATACTTCACACACATCATATTATTTAACCCTTTGAACAACCCTATGGGAAAAATATATATATATTTTTTAATGTAACTACTCTCCCTATGCAGAAGCCAATCATAATAAAACCTAAGAAGCTTCTTAACTTTTATTAAGTAGCCAAAGCTACACTTCTAGGAGGTGGCAGAGTTGGGGTTTGAACACAGGTCTGCTCAACTGCTAAAAGCAACCAAAAACACTAATAGAAATCCCAAGTTGAACCCCATTTATTGAGAAAACCAGAAGCAAATACAGCTAAGTATTGCTATTGGCGGTCTTGAACGGTGGGTGACAAATACGAATATTTCTCAAGATGTTCAATATTTCTCCCTAACGAGGATGCATGATTTTAATAATGAAGAAACAACCCTGGGATTTTGTAAGAAAGCCAAGGATGTACAATGCTAGGTGCCTTATGGTGGAGAAGTGTGTACTTAGGGGGGAATCTAGAGTTTCCATTGGGGATGCCCTTACCTTCTTGGTCCTGATCTTGCTTGTGAAAAGAACTTGACTCTTTCCTTCTGTCCTCCTTCCTTCTATCTGTTCCAGATGGAGTTTCTAGTGTGTGTCTCGTTTGGACTGTTGGCCCACTTTGATGCTGTGCTCAGGTTGACTTGCCAATCCCTAACTGTCTCTCTCTTTCCTCTCTCTCCCTCTCTCTGCTCCCTCCTCCTCTTCTCCGTCCACCTTGGACAGCCGACAAGGTCAATGATGACTTCTCCTCCAAGCGACGGCACCTGGCCGAGCTGGCGGCCAAGGGGAACCTCCCTTTGCACCCGGTAAGAGTAGAGGATGAGCCGCGGGCCTTCAGCCCTGAGCATGGCCCTGCCAAGCAGAACGGACAGAAGTCCCGCACCAACAAGATGCCCCCACATCCCCTGGCCTACAACTCCACCACCAACTTCAAGGGCTGGGACCCCAACGAGCATTCCCTCCGGCGGCAGGCTTACGGTAACAAAGGCAAGCTTGGCGCAGCTGAGTCGGGCTCCAGCGACCCCTTGGGGACTCGCACCCAGCACTACCCACCCCCACAGCCATATTTCATCACCAACAGCAAAACAGAAGTGACTGTCTGAGCTTTCACTACAGGGAGCATCCTGGAGACCATACTCAACTGAGAGAGGCAAAAAATATCCCTGGCCCACACCCTCCCTGGCCTCCCTGACCCGCTCCCCTGCACCCTGCCTCCCCTTACCAACTGACGAAAAACCTGCTGGTGATGCGGAATCACGCTTTTCTTGGGTCATGCCTAACACGTGTCAGAGGACAGCTGAGCAAGACGGAAGCAGGGACGTTCAGCAATACAGCAAAGGGGAAACTGAGGCACGGCTCTTCCGACTTCAGGCCCGAGGTGGCCAACTCACACGCCCACACCGTGGGGCTAATTTTTTCTTTTCCTCCTGACTTAAAACTGAAATCCATGACGAAAAATTAAAAGTAGCACAACTTAGAGAAATCGTCCATTTGAGCACATTTGCCATTTACCACGTGCTGTTTCGGGGTGAAAGAGCCAGGTTGGGGTGGGGGGAGCCTAAGAGTGGACATGAGAGAAGAGTGTACGTAAGAAGAGGAGTCATTTGGGGAGGAAGCTGTGTGCATTATAAGTGTTTTCTAATCCCAAGAAGCAGTGACATGGACACACAATTTTGACAAGCGTGAGACGGTAGTTGGACCCCAACCATTCTATTTATAGTACTTTTCATATCGTCAATGTTGGAAGCAAAAAAAAAAAAAAACATACACACACACACACTCAAACTCACAAAAAATAGACCCTGAACCCACCGGCAGTGATGAGAAAGAAAGAGCATTTTAGAGAAGTCCGGTAAAGACCATGACCATGGACATGGGAAGGATAGTAGGCTTTTACGGCAGGGAGAGAGGATCCAGAGAGTGTTAAATAACTTTTTTTCTTTAAAAAAAAATGATCACAAGCCCACTACAAAACAGACAAAAACAGCAAATCCATTTTTGTCCAGAATCCTCAAGACTTAGGAAATGAACAATGACATCAGAACAACAACAACAACAGAAAATACTCACAGTTGAAAAGTCGACAGGAGGTGAGAAGGGGACCCCGCATTTCCCGCCTTGCCTCCGAGACAAGAAACAGACACGGAACCCAGTCCTCTATTACCCGTCTCTCCCTGACCCCCCTCAGCCCGTTGCCGCCGCCGCTGCCAAATTTCAACTGCTTTGGACTGAAAATGTCATAAGCGTGGGTGGTGCCTTCAATGTGTTACTGTTTAATGACAGTCTTGTTTCCCAAGTGCAACGTGTGTTCTCTTGGTCCCCCTCCCTCCTGTTTCCTGAAGTCAGAGATGTTCCTCTCCTCCCCCTTTGTTGGTGAGCCCGCCCATCACACATTCTGAGGGGGCTGCTACAATGTTAGGGGTACCTAAAGATGAAGACCTCCCTCCTTCCCACCCTGTCACTCCCAGTCCTACTGTTACCTGGCTCCCCAGACCTCTCAAGCATTTCTGGGTCTCGTAATTCCCACGGCCCTCCAAGCCACCTCCCCAGATACTTCCCCAGATTCATCTCCCACCCAGAATTCCCCATCGGAACCAATTCAGAGTGGTTCTCACAGCCAGTGGCCCTTGGGCATCCCGACGAAGACAGTTTCCCTGCTCCTCCTATTTATTTCGTGGAAGCCCAAAGAGGAGAGTGCGGAGAGAGAGGAGATTTTGATTTTAGGTGAGAGGCTTTCAACCAGTCCCTAACAGCCTTCGCCAATGCACGGGAATCTCTGAGAGACCCAGTGTTCTTCTGGTGTCAGAAGCTGCATGTGGCAGTCCAAGAAGATCCAGAGCATTCCCTGGGATGCCCAACTGCGGCGTTCTGCCTCAGCTGTCTCTCACCTCCAACGTCATGGAAGCCGGGAAATCAGGGGCTTATTCTCCTTTTCATTCCTGGCCCCTCTGGGGGACATTGACAATGCCTGTTATCCCTCTGGGCCTTAGTCTCCCATCTGAAACGAAGGGAATTGGGGTTAGATCAAGCAAAACCTCCGCCCATTTTTTAAAAATGCCCCTGTGCACAGAAGCCACTAATAGAAGATCCTCGTTTATAAGGTGGCTCTTCGCTGGACAAAGCAGGGCGGGTGGGGGGCCAGGGCGGAGATAGAGCGCCCACTTTCTCAGCCTCTCTGCTGGGATCCCAGCACTCCCCAGGGTGGGGTAAACACCGCCCAGCTTGGTCAGTGTTTCCGTGATGTTAAATTATCTCTGTACTGCAGCCCGCTTTTGGCATCTCTGTGTGTCACCATCAAAATATTTGTAGCTAAATCAATTCACTCTTAATACTTTGAACTTTTAAAAGGAAAACTTCTTTTCATCATTACAAATAGAAAAGCAGTATCAGTCAATCACCCTAAATAGAAAGTAAATGTAAAGATAAGGATGAAGGCAACAAAGCAGCAATTGTTCTAGCTAGATGCTGTTGCTCCTGAAGAGTCTGAACTTAGAGCCCTGCGTTTGCTGGATTGCACTTGCTCTCTCTCTCTCTCTCTCCCCCTCCCCCCCTCCTCCCCCCTCCCTCCCCCTTCCCTTCTGTCATTCCTCTCTCTCCCTTTTTCTTTATTAAAATGATTGGCAGATGTTAAAGAGCTGTTAAAGATATACCAGCACCCAGTGGAGACTTTGCACTCCAAGGGACTCCATCGGACTGACAAAATGAAAAGGAACCCACTCCCCTCTGTGACTCGGTGTTAACCAGTGCTATATCCACGTGCTACTACAAATCTTTTTGCATTTGCTAGTGATGCACAGCGCCTATTTCAGGAAATACTGGGTCTGCTTCTCCGTGAGGTTCCCTCCAGCTCCAAAGGTCTGTGAGTCTTACTTCCCTTTTAGCTCATCTTGCCCCTTGTCCTCAGTTCACTTCATCTGACCTTTTATGCCATCCCTGATGAAGGAGCTTTCTTGATCTCTGAATCTACAGAATTTTTTTCCCCCTCCGTATTCCTCCTCTTCTGAGTAAACTTCAACCAGTGAGTTTCGTTAGTTGGGGTGGGGAGGGCGGTTTGGGCAGGAAGGTCATGGAGTGGTCAGTATGATGAGGCAGGATGATGGCCTAGAACGTTCGTTTTCTGTCTCATTATCTTCCAGTTGGCTTTGCAAACTGGGACCATGATGGTAGGGATTGGACAGGGAGGGTGGTTGGAATACTGATGGATCTGTGGCTGCCACATATCGATAACAATCTTGTGGCTACAGTGAGGAGCTTAGAAGAGAGAAACCCGAACAAAGTAGAGAGGCAGTTCCTCCCCCTCCCGGGCCCTGGCACTAGCCTCTACTTCTTGCCTTTAGCTCTCCCCAACTTCCAACCCAATGGGACCAGAGTCTGATTTCCCTTCGCCCTCCCAGAGCATCTCAGCCTCCATCCGCCTTGGGCTCTGCCTGGCACCCCATCTCACTCCCCTCATCTCCCCGGTTTTCCGTGTAAATGGAGCATATTTTATGTGCGAATATTTTAGTAACCGTATGTTCTGCAAGTAAACCTGTGTTAATACTTGTCAACAATTGCAGAGTTTATGATACCAATAATACTTCCTACAATGAAGAAAAAAAAGACATTTGTTTGTTTTCTAAAAATGTTTATTTGTAAACATGTATTCACTATATTAATATGAATTTCTTACCTGGCAATAAAACTGATTATATGTGATGCTGTTGGGGTTGTCATGTATCTTTTGTCCAAAGTTCAGGAAACAAAACAACAATAACAACACGATGGAAGTAAAACCAATGAATCACCAAAGTGGTTAATTTATAACACTTTATTGTGCACACACAAAAAGACAGTTTGCCAACCGGGAGCACTCAACCGAAAATGTGGAATGAGACTCAGAGGTATATCGTTGTAAAAGCAGCTTAGGTCGCACACAGGCAGTGACTGTTGATTCTTCGAGGCGATGGGTTGCCATATGAGAATTTTCTTAAATGAAAGGGAACTGGTTAGTGGTGACCTCGTATCAGTTTGGGGGAACAATAAGTTTGGCTTGTGATTCTCAGAGGTGTCAGCAAGTGACCCAGGTCAAGTGAGCCTTGATTGTCTTGCAAAATAAGCTAAATTAATCTTTGCTTGTATGACTAAACTGGTTCTGTCTGCTCAGGGAATTCTCAAGGCTGGTCTCCGTTTGTGCTTGATTTTAACACTTCCTAGCGTCCCACATCTTAATCTGAGCTACCACCAGGGACCACCACTATCAGTACAGAGAGCTCAATCTTTAATACATACTCAGGATGCATGGGAAATTGTTATAGGTAAAGGACATTTTTACTTAATAGCAACCTATACAAATTTTCTAGGAGAAAATTTGTTTTTTGTTTGAAGCCTTTTTGGTAGGAGTCTGTGTCTCTTAGGTTCACTTCCTGCCTTTAAAAAAATAACGCCATTGCTAGGTCCCCTCTAAATTCATAACTAAATTTATCTGCACTGGTCAAGAATCTTGCTGAAATTTGCACTTTTGTTTTTATCAGTGCCTAGGGTTGTAAAAAAACACAAGAGATTGGATTCTTCCCCTATTTGTTAAATTTTATTTCCTGCCTGGCTTCTGTTCGCATTATTTCAGTTTGAAATTTTCAGGTAGAAACCTGCCTTAACATGATCTCATTGGAAAGGGGCTCTGAGATCTGAGAGGCGGAGGGGACCACAGTAGGGGGGTGGGAAGGGGAGACAGGAAAAGGAAACAGCCCATAGAGGAGGATACCTTCTCATGCCAGCTACCACTATGAGTGACTGGAATTTATGGCTGCATGGGGTGGGTGGGGAGGGTGTAGAACACATACTCAGGAATCATCCCAGCCAAATGCAGGTGGAGCTGGGCTTTTCACACACCAAATCCCATCAGACACCATTTGAGCATTGCTTTCAGGGACGGTTAATGATCAGACACTCCCAGGCTCTCATGTGTGAGGGCAGAGGGATTTCCAAGGCGTGGAGAAAGCCCCAGGTGCAGAGATGCTCTGGTCATTGGAAGTCAGCCACTGGAGCAAGACACAAGGGAAGAGGCAGGAATTCACAGGGCATGCTCAACGCCCGAGCTCCAGGGTCTCGGGCAGCGAAGCTCCTT